GTAATTTCATTTTCTAATTTGTATCTTTTTGCTCACTGGGCATTTTTTTTCACTGGGCATTTTTTATAGTGTTTTTTTTATTATAAAAGTAATTTTAATTGTGTGAGGTGATGGGCATTCTCTGATTTTTCTTTTATAAGGAACCCATTTGTATATTCCTGTTGCCAGACTGTGTTCCTGAAGAGAATGAACCAACTTGGCCATTGGCAATGTGTAAGTGTTCCCTCCCCACAACTATACCATCCTTCTTCTTGTTTTTTTTTTTTCCCCCGATGGAGTCTTACTCTGTTACCCAGGCTGGAGTGCAGAGGCGTGATCTCAGCTCACTGCAACATCCGCCTCCCAGGTTCAAGTGATTCTCCTGCCTCAGCCTCCCAAGCATCTGGGATTACAGGTGCATACCACCACACCCAGTTAATTTTTTTGTATTTTTGTAGAGACAGGGTTTCACCATGTTGACCAGTCTGGTCTCAAACTCCAGACCTCAAGTGATCCACCCGCCTCGGCCTCCCAAAGTGCTGGGATTACAGGCGTGAGCTACCGCGCCGGGCCTGTACCAGCCTTCTGATATCAGGTTTAATTATTCATATTCACATTGTAGTACCTTAAAATCATTTGAATTTGTATTTTTAAATGATAATAAAAGTCTGCATTATTTTTATCATCCAAAGTACTTTTCCTGGGTCAGTAGAAGCTGATGAGAAAAAACAAATAAGAAAAAAAAAGTACTTTTCCTACTATGGTGGAAAGAATATATCAGATAGAACTGGCTGGGTGCAGTGGCTCACACCGGGTGCAGTGGCCACTGCCAGTGACTGGCAGTAATCCCAGCACTTTAGGAGGCCGAGGCAGGAGGACCACTTGAGGCCAGGAGTTCAAGACCAGCCTGAGCAACAAAGTGAAACCTCATCTCTACAAAAAACTAAAAAATTTACTCAGCCATGGTGCTATGTACCCATAGTCCTAGCTACTCAGGAGGCTGAGGCAGGAGGATCACTTGATCCCAGGGGTTTGAGGCTGCAGTGAGCCGAGATTGTGCCACTGCACTCCAGCTTGGGCGACAGAGCAAGACTCTGTCTCAATAAATAAATAAATAAATTTTTTTTAAAAGAATGTATCAGGCCGGGTGCAGTGGCTCATGCTTGTAATCCCAGTACTTTGGGAGGCCGAGGTGGGCGGATCACTTGAGGTCAGGAGTTTAAGACCAGACTGGCCAACATGGTGAAACCCCATCTCTACTAAAAATGCAAAAATTAGCCAGGCATAGTGGCATGCACCTGTAGTCCCAGCTACTCGGGAGCCTGAGGCAGGAGAATCCCTTGAACCCAGGAGGCAGAGGTTGCAGTGAGCCAAGATGGAACCACTGCACTGCAGCCCTGGGTGACAGAGCAACGCTCTGTCTCAAAAAAAAAAAAAAAAAAAAAAAAGTACATCAGACAGACATGTGATCATAACGTCATTTTGCTGCTCAATCAGAGAGAGGTTGGGCAATTTGTGCAAAGTTCTCATCTTTTAAATGGGTACACTGATATACCCACACACAGTTTTGTTGTGAGGATTAAATGAGATGATGCATGATGATGTGCACTGCAGTGCTTAACACATAGCAGTACTCAGTAAATGGCAACTCTTAATTTACCATCCCCTGATGTGTAGTGGACCCTGGGAAATTGGCAATAAGCTTGAGAAAGCTCTCTATCAGAAATGCCTCACACTTTGGCCGGGTGCGGTGGCTCACGCCTGTAATCCCAACACTTTGGGAGGCTGAGGTGGGTGGATCACCTGAGGTCAGGAGTTCAAGACCAGCCTGGCCAACATGGTGAAACCCTGTCTCTACTAAAAATAAAAAATAAATTAGCCTGACATGATGGCAGGTGCCTGTAATTCCAGCTACTCGGGAGGCTGAGGCAGGAGAATCACTTGAACCCAGGAGGTGGAGGTTGTAGTAGGCCGAGATCGCACCATTGCACTCCAGCCTGGGTGACAAGAGTGAAACTCCGTCTCAAAAAAAAAAAGGGCTGGGCGCGGTGGCTTATGCCTGTAATTCTAGCACTTTGGAAGTCTGAGGCAGGTGGATCACGAGGTCAGGAGATCGAGACCATCCTGGCTAACACGGTGAAACCCCGTCTCTACTAAAAATACAAAATATTACCCAGCGTGGTGGCACGCGCCTGTAGTCCCAGCTACCCGGGAGGCCGAGATAGGAGAATCACTTGAACCTAGGAGGCAGAGAGTGCAGTGAGCCAAGATCGTGCCACTGCACTCCAGCCTGGGTGACAGAGTGCGACTCCATCTCAAAAAAAAGAAAGAAAGAAAAAGAAAGAAATGCCAGGCATGCTGCATTAGTGGGGCTGGGAACAGGGCGATTTTACATCATGAGCTAATATAACATATTTAGCTTTTCAGTCATTTACTTTTTAATTGTCTCTATCCTCACAACAGCCCTACAAAATAGGTAAGACAAATCCTTTGACCTGGTTCTTCATCTGTGAAGAAATATGGTAATGCGATAATAAATCCCTTCATGTATTCAACACAGAGTTATTGAGCATCTGTGTACCTGACATTGCTAGGGGCTGGGAACAGAGCAGTGAACAGAAACCTGCCCTCATAGACCATATGGTCTGGTGGTGGAAGACAGGCAGTAGTACAAGTAAATAGACTCTAGTATCTTAGGCAGAAAGAAGTGCGAAGGGAAAATGAGTCAGAGAAGTGGAGAGGGTTGTGATTTTAGATGAAGTGGCCAAGAAAAGCCTCAATGAGCAGGTGATATTTTTTAACAAAGATCTGAAGGGAGGTAAAGCGGTGAGCCATGGGTATATATCTTAGGGAAGAGGGTTCCAGGCAGAAGGAACAGCAAGAGCAAGGGTCCTGACAGGGGAACATGCCTGGCAGTCGAGGAACAGCAAGGAGGCAAGTGTGGCTGAGGGAAGAAGGTGAGAGTGGGGAAGGAGTGATGGGAGCTGAACCATAAGTTGGGAGGGGAAAGGGAACTCAGATCATATTGGGCCTTATATACCATTGTCACGACTTAATTTTGCCTTTTACTCAGAATGACCAATGGGATTTGCAAGGGAAATTTTTCCTACTTGCTATGTGTTCCATTCTAGTTTGATTCAGGAACCCTGAGTGCAGTAGGCAGGGGCCTTTGCCCAACCCCAAATGGAGATGTGCTCCACAGCAGGAAGGCTCAAGAATAACTTGCACCATTCATCTTCACTATGCTCAAGATACCCCTCCTAATGAGAACGGTGAGTGGTGTCTGCTGGAGCATAGAGGGAGTGGAGCCAGAAATCCCTGACTTTTCCTCTTTCACACCTGACCAGGCCTTCCTAAGGCCTGGGAAACTGCCCTGAGGGCTGTAGGCTTTGAGGGGCTGGTCTGGGGAACAGAGACAGCTGGAACTTTTCCCAGGGGTAGTGGAGTTCGCCTCCACCAATTTCAACTGGTCTCTGTTCCATAGAAGCACAATGAGAAGGATTTCAAGCCATTCTTTCTTTCTTTTTTTTTTTTTTTTTTTTCTGAGACAGGGTCTTACTCTGTCACCCAGGCTGACTGCAGCAGCGCAATCACAGCTTACTGCAGCCTCGACCTCCTGGGCTCAAGTGATCCTCCCACCTCAGCCTCCTGAGTAGCTAGAACTATAGGTGCTTATTACCACGCCTGGCTAATTTTTTTTTTTTTTTTTTTTTTTTGAGATGGAGTCTTGCTCTGTCGCCCAGGATGGAGAGTGCATTGGTGTAATCTCGGCTCACTGCAACCTCTGCCTCCTGGGTTCAAACGATTCTCCTGCCTCAGCCTCTCAAGTAGCTGGGATTACAGGCACCTACCACCATGCCCAGCTAATTTTTGTATTTTTAATAGAGATGGGGTTTCACCATATTGGCCAGGCTGGACTTGAACTCCTGACCTTGTGATCTGCCTGCCTCGGCCTCCCAAAGTGTCAGGCTTACAGGCATGAGTCACTACGCCCGGCCTAATTTTTTAGTTTTATAGAGATGGAGTCCCACTATGTTGCCCAGGCTGTCTCAAACTCTTAGCCTCAAGTGATTGATTCTCCCGTCTTGGTCTTCCAAAGTGCTGGGATTACAGATGTGAACCACTGCACCTGGCCTAAGCCATTCTCCTTTATTCACTCACCAGTTACGCAAAGTAATCCAGGGCCTTCTCAGCAAAGCTGCCAGGATGAGCCACACAAAGAAATCAGAGTCAGACACAGGCAGAAAAACAAAGGAATTCATGGGATTGTACATCTTACTATGCAGGCAATATATTCCAAAGCCAAATTAAAAAGTCTTTTGATCCATCTGCATGCCCTCTGTTAACAGGAGCATTCTAAAGTTGGTGGTGGAGGCCAGGTGCAATGGCTCACACCTGTAATCCCAGCACTTTGGGAGGCCAAGACAGGAGGATCCCTTGAGGCCAGGAGTTTGAGGCCAGCCTGGGCAACATAGCGAGACCCTGTCTCTACAAAAAATTAAAAATTAGCCAGGTGTGGTGACACACGCCTATCTACTCGGAAAGCTAAGGTGGGAAGATTGCTTGAGCCCAGGAGTTCAAAGCTGCAGTGAGCTAGGATCGAGCCCCTGCACTATAGCCTCGGTGACAGAGTGAGACCCTGTCTCTAAAAAAAAATAAATAAAATAATGGTGGTGGAGAACTCCTATTTTGGATGAGCATCTCCCTCCTTAGGCCACTAGGCCCCCATTTAATGCACTAGCATGGACAAATTACTTAAGTAGGAAGAGCAGATTTTCCCAGGGAAATGTAAGGTTAGAATGATACAGACACAGGGAAAATGATTGTGATTGTGCATTTCACCTTCAAAGGCTATCCCACCTTGATTTTGGAACTGAGATAGAGACGATGTTTACTTATTCTAGTCACCCCCTTTGATACCATCTCCTAGATTTTCCAGACTTCAAACTTTTGATCTGCTGAGAGTCTCTTTATTGTTCTTCACACTGGTGTACCATGCTGGAGTGGTCGGCCTAACTTACCGAAAAATATTCGTCAATTTGTTTACGACCCTTTTCCACAGTGAATTCACCGTGAGTCATCCACTTGATGTTTTTCAAAGGGTTTTGCTCCTCTGCAAAAAAAAAAAAAAAAAAAAGGTGTGAATTTGTTAGTTGCCCCGTAGTATGGTGCTATATGAGACAGTTATTTAGGCATCCAAACAAACAGGATTTCTACCTTCCACAATCTTAACAGCATAATTGATGACATCCTCAACCAAAGCTAGAGCTACTTGAGTCAATTTATCCTCGTAGTCCTTATCTTGTGTATTCGGCATTGTTTGGCTTGCGGCTTTGTTATCCTCATCCATTGCTTTCTGACTTGTTGAATTTTGAGTCTCACTCATTTGCTTTTTCCTGGGGAAGAAAAGAAGTTACTCACTGTGTGCATGTGTGTGTACACACATGTGAATGCACTCATATAAGTACAGACCATCTCTTGAAGAATCACAAGAGACAGTAAGCAGTAATTGCCTCTAGGGAGGGGATTGGGGGTTTAAGGGTAGGAGTCAGACCTGTGCCTGGCTGCTGAGATCTACTTTTCCTGAAAACCAAGGATTCTCACATTCTCAAAACCATAATGAGGCCCGACGCGGTGGCTCACGCCTATAACCCCAGCACTTTGGGAGCCCAAGGCGGGCAGATCACCTGAGGTTGGGAGTTCAAGACCAGTCTGACCAACATAGTGAAACCTGGTCTCTACTAAAAATACAAAATTAACCGGGCGTGGTGGCGGGTGCCTGTAGTCCCAGCTACTCGGGAGGCTGAGGCAGGAGAATGGCGTGAACCCGGGAGGCAGAGCTTGCAGTGAGCTACTGCACTCCAGCCTGGGCGACAGAGCGAAACTCCGTCTCAAAAAAAAAAAAAAAGAAAGAAAGTTGAAATAATGAGCATCCTCCTATTGTGTCTGACTTTAATGGCCTTGCTTTCTGGTGTTCCACCATTAGTATGATGCTGGTTTATGGTTTGAGATGTATCACATCAAGAAAACATTCGTCTGTTCCTGTTCTAGTAAGATTTTTATCATAAATGATAGCTATAATCTTCCAGATGCCTTTAACGTGTATTGACAATGTGAAATTTTGTGTTCCTAGGGCTGTAAACATGGGTCCATCACAGAGCTAGAAGTCTTTGCTCATTTTCAATTTTTTTTACATCTTTTCCCTTGAGTCTTAAATCCTTTCTTTTCTTGCTACTGTTTAAGTCTTTTTCCTTATTAAAAAATTGCTTATTTCCAGCACAGCTTTAAATTCCCTACAGGTGGCCGGGTACAGTGGCTCAAGCCTGTAATCCCAACACTTTGGGAGGCCAAAGTGGGAGGATTGTTTAAGTGCAGGAGATTGAGATCAGCCTGGACAACATAGCAAGGCCCCATCTCTACAAAAGTTTAAAAAATTAGCCAGGCATGGTGATGTGTGCCTGTAGTCTCAGCTTTCTACTCACAAGGCTGATGTGGGAGAATCACTTGAGCCTGCGAGGTTGAGGCTGCAGGGAGCTGTGATCTCACCACTGAACTCCAGTCTGGGTGACAGAGCGAGACCCTGTCTCAGAAAAAATTAAAAATATGGCCAGACACGGTGGCACACGCCTGTAATCCCAGCAATTTGGGAGGCCACAGCGGGTAGATCACCTGACATGAGGAGTTTGAGACCAGCCTGGCAAGCATGGTGAAACCCTATCTCTACTAAAAATACAAAAATTGGCCTGGGCCAGGTATAGTGGCTCATGCCTGTAATCCCAGCACTTTGGGAGGCTGAGGCAGGCGGATCACCTGAGGTCAGGAGTTCAAGACCCACCTGGCCAACATGGTGAAACCCTATCTTTACTAAAAATACAAAATTTAGCCAGGCATGGTGGTGGACACCTGTAATCCCAGCTACTCAGGAGGCTGAGGCAGGAGAATCACTTGAACCCAGGAGGCAGAGGTTGTGGTGAGGCGAGATCGTGCCACTGCACTCCAGCCTGGGTGACAGAGCGAGACTCTGTCTCAAAAAAATAAAAAATAAGTATGTTGCAAGCAATCCTTCCATTGGGTGGAAGGGCTACATGAAAGTGGGTATCTCTCTCCAAAGGGAGCTATTTTTCTATAAATAACAGCTCCCAATTTGGGGGTGTTTAATGTGCTATGTTTCATTTAACTGTCATCACAGCCCTATGAAAGAGTGCACTGGGCACCTTCCATTTGCCCTTCCAAATCCACTGTCCTTGCATCTCCCCCTGTTTCCTGCCCTGGAAAACTAACCTGACTGCACCCATAAATGGTGCTCTCTGGCTTCTAGGGGGTTCCACACAATAAGGAGATCAGGAAGTCAAAATATATGTTCCTGGTGGTTTTCTCCCTGCAAGTTGGCTGATGGCTGGCTGCATGAAGTCCCCAGTGTCTTTCAGGGCAGCGCTCTCCCAGCTTCTAAGTGTGGTAAGGGTAAGCATTCTCTCCCCTCAACCTTTTAGGCCCACTGTTACTAGCCCCAGCGAGCTGCACCTTCCTCTGTTGCCCTGCACTCTGGTCACACTTTTGTAAATATTCCCTTACTTAGCCCTTCTGCAGCTGTCTTCATTTTAATACACCAACCGTTTCCTACAGGAACCCTGAGTCACAGATAGAGGGCCTATTGCTGCCATGTAAAAATGAGGAAACTGAGCTGTACACCCACACTGTCTGGCTCCACAGCCCATGCTCTCAACTGTGCTGCTCTTCTCCCTCCAAGATTCAGAAAGAGTAGTAGGGCCCTATTCGCACATTTTCTTTCTTTCTTTTTTTTTTTTTTTTTTTTTTGAGACAGAGTCTTGCTCTGTCGCCCAGGCTGGAGGGCAGTGGCGCCATCTCGGCTCACTGCAACCTCTTCCTCCCAGGTTCAAGTGATTCTGCTGCCTCAGCCTCCCGAGTAGCTGGGATTACAGGCGCCCGCCACCGTGCCCAGCTAATTTTTGTATTTTTAGTAGAGATGAGGTTTCACCATCTTGGCCAGGCTGGTCTTGAACTCCTGACCTCCTGATCCACCCACCTCAGTCTCCCAAAGTGCTGGGATTACAGGCATGAGCCACCGCGCCCGGCTTTATTCTCATATCTTCATCTAGAGTCCAGTGACCCACTCTCTCTCTCTGGGAGCCTCTTTCACAAAAGGCAACTTTTTCTTTTCTTTTTTTTTTTTTTTTTTTTGAGACGGAGTTTTCACTCTTGTTGCCCAGGCCAGAGTGCAATGGCGAAATCTCGGCTCACTGCAACCTCTGCCTCCCAGGTTCAAGCAATTCTCCTGCCTCAGCCTCCCGAGTAGCTGGGATTATAGGCGTCTGCCACCATGCCCGGCTAAGTTTTGTATTTTTAGTAGAGACGGGGTTTCACCATGTTGGCCAGGCTGGTCTTGAACTCCTGACTTCAGGTGATCCACCTGCCTCGGCCTCCCAAAGTGCTGGGATTACAGGTGTGAGCCACTGTGCCCGGACAAAGGGCAACTCCGTTTCTTTTATTGACATCATCACTGGTCCCAGGGGATAGTAGATACCACAAAAGGCAACCTGGCTCCCACGGCCATCAGTTCAAGAACCAGTGGGACAGCCTTTGAACATCCCTGAAATAATGTTGGCCATTGTTCATTTAAGCTTTTTTTTTTTTTTTTTTTTTTCCTGTTTTTTCTCTTGAGATAGGGTCTTGCTCTGTCACCTGGGCTGGAGTGCAGTGGTGCAATCACAGCTACCTGCAGCCTCAACTTCCTAGGCTCAAGTGATCCTCCCACCTCAGCCTCCTGAGTAGTTGGGACTAAAGGCCTATACCACCACACTTGGCTATTTTTTTTTCTTTTGAGACAGAGTCTTACTCTGTCACCCAGACTGGAGTGCGGTGACACAATCTCGGCTCACTGTAACCTCTGCCTCCTGGGTTCAAGAGATTCTCCTGCCTCAGCCTCCTGAGTAGCTGGGATTATAGGTGGGTAAATACAAAATACACGTGTTGTAAATACAAAAATATGCCCAGCTAATTTTTGTATTTTTAGTAGAGATGGGGTTTCACCATATTGGCCAGGCTGGTCTTGAACCCCTGACCTTGGGTGATCTGCCCACCTCAGCCTCCCACCATGTCCTGCCTACACCAGGCTATTTATTTTATAGTTCTCAGTATGTTGCCCAGATTGATATTAGCATTTTTAAGCTCAGTTTGCCTCTGCCCCAGTTCCCTGTTGCTGCAGCTGGAGGTAGACAGGATCATCTGCTGGAGGACACAGAGCATTTCTAGGCTGCCCACTCCAGAGCAGCCAGAGGCTAAAGGGTGGGCAGTGAGGAGCCTAAAGACCCTTAACACTAGAGAACTGACTCTCCCTAGCCCTTACTTAGGCCATGCCAATTTGGCCAGAGCAACCTGCTATAAACTCTGTAAAGACAACTGCACAAAGGTTTTTGGGTAAATTGGTAATTTCAGTAGACTTTGGTAAAGTAGCCATATATTAACTTGATCCTTTAGAAAATTGTCCATTTGCGCCGGCTGCAGTGGCTCACACCTGTAATCCCAGCACTTTGGGAGGCCAAGGTGCGTGGATGACCTGAGGTCAGGAGTTCAAGACCAGCCTGATCAACATGGAGAAACTCCGTCTCTACTAAAAATACAAAAAATTAGCCGGGTGTGGCCAGGTGCGGTGGGTCACACCTGTAATCCCAGCACTTTGGGAGGCCAAGGTGGGCGGATCACGAAATCAGGAGCTCAAGACCATCCTGGCTAACACAGTGAAACCCCGTCTCTACTAAAAAATACAAAAAACTAGCCGGGCGAGGTGGCGGGCGCCTGTAGTCCCAGCTACTCGGGAGGCTGAGGCAGGAGAATGGCCTGAACCCGGGAGGCGGAGCTTGCAGTGAGCTGAGATCCGGCCACTGCACTCCAGCCTGGGTGACAGAGCGAGACTCCGTCTCAAAAAAAAAAAAAAAAAGAAAGAAAGAAAAAGAAAGAAAGAAGGAAAGAAAATTGTCCATTTGGGGCTGGGCGCGGTGGCTCACACCTGTAATCCCAGCACTTTGGAAGGCCAATGTGGGAGGATTACCTGAGGTCAGGAGTTTGAAACCAGCCTGGCCAACATGGCAAAACCCTGTCTCTACTAAAAATACAAAAATTAGCCGGGCATGGTGGTGCATGCCTGTAGTCCCTGCTACTCGGGAGGCTGAGGCAGCAGAATGGTGTGAACCCGGGAGGTGGAGCTTGCAGTGAGCTGAGATCACGCCACTGTACTCCAGCCCGGGCGACAGAGCAAGACTCTGTCTCAAAAAAAAAAGGAAAAAAAAAAAAAAGGAAAGGAAAGAAAATTGCCCATTTAGTAACTTGGACATTCAGTAACTTTGCTTTCAGCAAATTGCCTATTGATAAATTGATGAGAAGTCAAATCTGTGACCTCCAACACGAAGCACATGGGGTGTGTGCTTTATGCATGGAGGGACCTCCTTAAGACTTGCCCTGGGGAGCCCGTGCTCCAACAGGAGAGGGAAGATGGGGAGCAGTGCCCAGGTAGAAGCTCAATTTTTACCCTCACACGTCTGTGGGCACACACCATTCTTAAGCCACCCTCCCACTGGCCTCTCTTAGTTATTTTTCTTCCCTTCCCTCCCCTCCTCTCCCCTCCCCTCCCCTCCCCCTCCCTCTCCCCTCTCCTCCCCTCTCCTCCCCTGCCCTCCCCTCCTCAGAGGCCAAATAGGCAGGGTGGGTGGAAAGAGAAGGGGGAATGGTAATGTTTGGGGTCTGGGTGATGAATAGGGAGAATCACTGCAAGTCCTTTCTGTGGACTCCCCCATCCCGGAGAAACCCCAGTACCAGAGTGAGCAGATCTTCTTTGCTTGAAACAGGAGCAGTGGTAGGTAGCTGGGGATGTCTCAGGATTCTCTCAGTAGCTTCTCTCAGATTGCCAGATGGAATGTTTGCAAGTGCTGCCAAGGAAACAACAATTTCAACCAATGGGAAGCATAGCCTACATGTTTCTGACTGCTTATGTTAATAACGGAGGGTAAGATGGGAGGGGGTGAGGGAAGGAGGGGAGAGCCAATCACAGCAACTGTCTGACCGCAATAATAGGACCAAACTGTGGTAGCTATACCTAGCTTCTCTTCAGCTGAAGATGAGCTTGCAGGGCCATGCCAGGAAGAACAGTGATGATAAACCTCACAGCTGGTATGTATTGGGCATCCCTATGATATGCCAGTCACTGTGTTAAGCCTTCAGTGTCTGAAGTCATTTACTCCTCACAATAGCATTATGAGGTAAGTATTAGTATTTGCATATTACAGTTGAACAGACTGAGGCACAGCAAGTACTGTCCCAAACTCAAACCCAAAGCTGTCTGACTTCATTGGCTGAGCTTTTACTTTTTCATTTCCAAATTCTGAGGTTAGGACTTCCCATGTGTACTTCATTGCTTTGCAAACCAAAAAGTTATCTGAAACAGGTCTCAATTTACCAGTTTATTTTGCCAAGGTTAAGGATGTGTCTGGGAGACAGGTCTGTGCCTTTCTCCAAAGATGACTTTGAGGGCTTCAGTATTTATTTATTTATTTATTTATTTATTTATTTATTTAAAGACAGGGTCTCACTGTCACCCAGGCTGAAATGCAGTGGCACAGTCATGGCTCACCCCAGCCTCGACTGCCTGGGCTCAAGTGATTCTCCCACCTCAGCCTCCCAGGTAACTGGGACTATAGGTGTGTCACCACCACACCTGGCCAATTTTTAAATTATTTGTAGAGACAAGGTCTCACTCTGTTGCCCAGACTGGTCTCGAACTCCTGGGTTCAAGCTATTCTCCTGCTCCAGCCTCCCAAAGTGCTGGGATTACAACCATGAGCCACCTCACCCAACCAGGCTTCAGGTTTTGTTTGTTTGTTTTGAAACAGAGTCTCGCTCTTGTTGCCCAGGTTGGAGTGCAGTGGCGCGATCTCGGCTCACTGCAACCTCTGCCTCCCGGGTTCAAGCGATTCTCCTGCCTCAGCCTCCCAAGTAGCTGGGATTACAGGCGCCCACCACCACGCCCAGCTAGTTTTTGTATTTTTAATAGAGACGAGGTTTCACCATGTTGGTCAGGCTGGTCTTAAACTCCTGACCTTAGGCGATCCATGTGCCTCGGCCTCCCAAAGTGCTGGGATTACAGGTCTGAGCCACCACGCCCAGCCCAGGCTTCAGTATTTAAAGGAGAAATGCAAGGGCAGGTGCAGTGGCTCACGCTTATAATCCCAGCACTTTGGGAGACCAAAGCAGACAGATCACTTGAGATCAGGAGTTGGAGACCAGCCTGGCCAATATGGTGAAACCCTGCCTCTACTAAAAATACAAAAATTAGCTGGGCATGGTGGTGGGCACCTGTAATCCCAGCTACTCGGGAGGCTGAGGCAGGAGAATCACTCGAACACGGGAGGCAGAGGTTGCAGTGAGCCGAGATCGCGCCACTGCACTCCAACCTGGGCAACTAGAGCGAGACTCCGTCTCAAAAAATAATAATAATAAATAATAATAAAGGGGAAATGCAAGCTTGAGGGAAGAGAGGGAAGGTATGGTCACATTATTGAATCCACATGTTACAAGAGAAAAAGAGCAGGTAGGGGAATCAATTATGTATCCGTCTCCTGCTCATTAAATCAGCACTTTACATAAGATAAAGTAAACATAGAGTAGCTACAGGTGAAGATATTTAACCTGTTATTTGTAGCTGTCTGCTCAGGAACAAAAGGAAAGGCAGCTTCTTGCATGACTCAGCTTTCAGTTTAATTTTTTTTCCTTTTGGCAGAGTGAATTGGGGTCCCAAGTTTTTATTTTCCTTTCACAGCTTTCAAAGATGTCTTTTATGAATCAAAGATGAAAGAGATATAGTGCTTATCAGCTTACACTCAGGAACAATTTAACATTTTTCTTTCTCAGTTCCCTTGCCTATAAAACGGGGTTAATAACAACGCCTACAGAATAGGGGTTTTATGGGGATCAAACCAGATAATTCATGTGAAGACCAAGAACAATGCCTGGTACATCATAATCTCGCTCTATAATGATTAGACAGCCTTTCTTTCTTTTTTTTTTTTTTTTTTTTTTGAGACGGAGTCTTTGCTCTGTCGCCCAGGCTGGAGTGCAGTGGCACGAACTCGGCTCGCTACAAGCTCCGCCTCCCGGGTTTACGCCATTCTCCTGCCTCAGCCTCCCGAGTAGCTGGGACTACAGGCGCCCGCCACCTCGCCCGGCTATTTTTTTGTGTTTTTTAGTAGAGACGGGGTTTCACCGTGTTCGCCAGGATGGTCTCGATCTCCTGACCTTGTGATCCGCCCGTCTCGGCCTCCCAAAGTGCTGGGATTACAGGCGTGAGCCACCGCGCCCGGCCTTTTTTTTTTTTTGAGATGGAGTTTTGCTCTTGTTGCCCAGGCTGGAGTGCAGTGGCACTATCTCGACTCACTGCAACCTCTGCCTTCCAGGTTCAAGTGATTCTCCTGCCTCAGCCTCCTGAGTAACTGGGATTATAGGTGCCCGCCACCACGCCCAGCTAATTTTTGTATTTTTTTGTGGGGACGGGTTTTTGCTATGTTTCCCAGGCTGGTCTTGAACTCCTGAGTTCAAGGGATCCGCCAGCCCCAGCCTCCCAAAGTGCCGGGATTACAGGTGCAAGCTACCACACCGGGCCAGGATTTTTTTTTTCCCCCCTTGTTTTGTTTTCATTTTTCTTTTGGTTGGGGGAGGGGAGAGATGGGGTCTCACTCTGTCACCCAGGCTGGAGTGCAGTGGTGCCATTACGGCTCACTGCAGCCTCCACCTCCTGGACTCAAGTGATCCTCCCGCCTCAGCCTCCCAAGTAGCAGAGACCACCACGGTCAGCTAATTTTTTGTAGAGGCTAGGTCTCACTATGTTACCCAGGCTGGTCTCGAACTCCTGACCTCAAGCGATCCTCCTGCCTCAGCCTCCCAAAGTGCTAGGATTACAGGGGTAAGCCACCCCAACGGGCTGGGAGTAGGATTCCTTATTGCCCAGAGGAGACAAACACAAGCAAAATGCTTTCGTGGAGGGAACCTGGAGAGATTTCCCAGCAGATTAGAAAGGCTCCTTCTTTGAAGCAGAAGCTTAACTTCTGTGTCCAGAACTTTACCTCTTACTCGCAGCCAAGCCCCTTACTGAAATGCACAAATTTTGGTTTCCAGGGCTCTGTAGGTCGAGAGGTCTTTTGAATCCTCACGCAGCGCGGAGAACAGGTTCTTCCACACTACTCCCTGCTCAGATGCTAGTGCAGGTATGAGTGGAGAAAATGGCTTGCAAGCCGAGATGGAGGGGAGAGCTGGGAGGAGCAGGTGGGGCAGAGCAGGAGAAGCTGGCTAGAGGCTTGCCAAGCTCAGCCCCTCCCTCCTCGGGAAGAAAACAGACTTGGGTGCTTGGGAAGCCGTAACTCCCACCCGACTCCCCACCCCCCGCGCCACACCCCCGCCACGGGCCTCTGGAAGCATCCGGACTACGGGGGGCAGGGAGGCGGCGCCGGCTGCCGGCTGGCGCGTGGTCCAGCGATGCGCCCGCGTTGTTCTGAAAGAACGTGGAGACTGCACCAAGACGCGCCGCCCCAGTAACAAAAATTAGCCGAGTGTGGCGGCGCGCTTCTGTGGTCTCAGGTACTTGGGAGGCTGAGATGGACGATCACTTGAGCCCGGGAGGTCGAGGCTACAGTGAGCCATGATCGTACCACTGCATTACAGCCTGGGCGACAGAGCCAGAGCCTGATGCAGGCCTGGCCACGTGGAGTGCGTCCTCTCCGTTCCCCAAGAGCCGATGGGCGGGGCGGGTCGGAAGTACACTGACCTACTGTCCTGGGCTTTCCGAGGCTGCCGGGAGCTAGACAGACCGCCAGGGGGCGAGAGGGCCAGCGCCTCCCTAGTCCTGCCTGTGGGGAGTGGAGGGGAGGGGGGAATGTGTATCAAGGATGTCGTGCTCATTAGAGAGAACTGCTTTGGAGAGCCTTGCAGATCCACACACTCTACTCTTTTTTTTTTTTTTTTTTTTTTAGTTGGAGTCTCACTGTGTCGCCCGGGCTGGGGTGCAGTGGCGCGATCTCGGCTCACTGCAACCTCCGCCTCCCGGGTTCAAGCGATTCTCTTGTCTCAGCCTCCCAACCGCACTCAGCTAATTTTTGTATTTTCAGTAGAGACGGGATTTCACCATGTTTGTCAGATTGGTCTCGAACTCCTGATCACAAGTGATCCGCCTGCCTCAGCCTCCCAAAGTGCTGGGATTACAGGCATGAGCCATCGCACCTGGCCCACACTCTCTTTGCTTCTTCTTCCTTCTTCTTCTTTCTTCTTTCTCCTTCCCCTTTTTATTTATTTTTTTTTTTTTTCTTTTGAGACAGAGTCTTATTCTTGTCGCCCAGGCTGGAGTGCAATGACACGATCCTGGCTCACTGCAACCTCCCCCTCCCGGGTTCAAGCGATTTTCCTACTTCAGCCTCCCGAGTAGCTGGGATTACAGGCATGCACCACCACACCCTGCTAATTTTTGTATTTTTAGTAGAGACAGGGTTTCGCCATGTTGGCCAGGCTGATCTCGAACTCCCGTCCTCAACTGATCTGCCCACCTTAGCCTCCCAAAGTGCTGGGATTACAGGTGTGAGCCACCGCACCTGGCCTAGTTTCTTCTTGAACTGAAGAAAATCCAGGGAGATGCCCTAGGCAGGGGTAGTCTACATCACAGGACAAGGAAGAGAGGACAGAGCCCTCTCTTGGGACTCCACACCCTGGGCCTTGAATTATACTCTTTTCCACCTATGCCTCATTTTCATTCCATCTCAGTTTCTTTCCTCTCCTCCCCTTATACTCTCATGCTCACCCTTTCACCCCTTCCCTTATTTTTTCCCCTTCTTTCTCTTCTACCAATCTCTAGCAAGGCTGATGCCACTTAGCCACAAGCCTAGGCTAAACGCTGACATTCTCTGCTTTGTCAAATGAACCCAGTTGGCCAGCATGTATCTTTTAAGGGACTGTAAAGTGCGCAGGTGGCAGGAATTGTGAGAAGTAAACTGACTTAAGACGAAGTTCCCACCCTCGATGCACTTACAATGTAGTTGGGAAGACAAAGGGTGTTCACATGAAAAAATAGCAAGTAAGTCAAAGCAGGGGACAATGAAATGCTTTCTTACCCAAAACATGAGGCATGTTGGATTTGGGCAGGTTCTGTTACCAGTAGAGGGTCTTTACTGCAAATTGTCCAGGTTCTTGGCGTTTTGAACAAAGAATTGGACAAAACGCACAGCAAAGTCAGGAAAGAAAGAAGCAAGGAAAGCAGAGATTTATTGAAAGTGAAAGTATACTCCACAGTGTGAGAACGGGCGGAGCAGTGACTGAAGGGCCCTGATACACAATCTTCTGGGGTCCAAATACCTGCTAGAGGTTTACCATTGGTCACTTGGTGTTCACCCCTATGTTCATGAAGTTGCAGCCCACAATCAGAGGCTGAAGTGAAGTTACAAAGGTCACACTCCTATGCAAATATCTTATTGGTTGTGAAAAGCAGCCAATCAGAGGCTAGAGTGAAGTTACAAAGTTGCCCTTCTATACAAGCGAAGACTTGGCCCCCAATCCGTCTGATTGGTTAGGATAGCAACCAATCAGAGGTTGAAGTGAAGTTACAAAGTTACACTCCTATGCAAACGTCTGATTGGTTGCAAAAAGCAACCAATCAGAGGTACTTTCAATTTCCCGTCTGCTTTTTTCAACCAATCAGAGGTAGTTTCAATTTCCCATCTGCCACACAGAAAGGTGGGGGTTTGCAAGGGGAGCAACGTCTGGTTCTTTTGTTACTTAGGCGTGGAAAGTTAGGGCTTTCCTTTCAATTTAGTTATAGGAAGTCAGCGTGAAATGGCCTTAGGTTCCCTGCCTCCAGACCCTATTCTCCTGCCTCAGTTCTAAGCAAGTGACTTTGCTTCACGTCTCAAAGGCCACCAGACTGCCCTAGTGGGGGTGAAGAAAGAGGGAGGTGGTGGTAGGAAACCAGGGCCTTTCCCAAGCAGAGGGCCATCCTCTAACAGTAAAGGCCACAGACCTGAGTACTGTGGTAGTCAGGCCTAGGTGGGTGGGTCCTTGAGAGTCATGATGTCACAAAAACCTCTCAGAATATCCTGGCCATCCTTGAGCATGAGTACCTCATTGAATAGTGCCTCCCTCAGAACAAAAGTACTATGGCAAAACTGTTCCTGACGGCTGGATTAAAAAACATTTTTTTATTATACTTTAAGTTCTAGGGTACATGTGCACAACGAGCAGATTTGTTACATATGTGTACGTGTGCCATGTTGGTGTGCTGCACCCATTAACTCGTCATTTACATTAGGTATATCTCCTAATGCTATCCCTCCCCCTCTCCCCCCACCCCACGACAGGCCCCGGTGTGTGATGTTCCCCACCCTGTGTCCAAGTGATCTCATTGTTCAATTCCCACCTATGAGTGAGAACATGCGGTGTTCGGTTTTCTGTCCTTGCGATAGTTTGCTCAGAATGATGGTTTCCAGCTTCATCCATGTCTCTACAAAGGACATGAAGTCATCCTCTTTTATGGCTGCATAGTATTCCATGGTGTATATGTGCCACATTTTCTTAATCCAGTCTATCATTGATGGACATTTGGGTTGGTTCCAAGTCTTTGCTATTGTGAATAGTGCCGCAATAAACATTCGTGTGCATGTGTCTTTATAGCAGCATGATTTTATAATCCGATGGCTGGATTTTTGATAGTGATGTCTTGAGGTTGAGATCCACGGTCATAACGAGAGTGGGCTGCTCTTGTAGGCACTGTATGAAAACTCCAGGGTTTCCCTAGAGACCAGACCAACCCCACCCCAAATACTAAGTTCTTAGATGTAAGAGAGAAGAGGAAGCTTCTGGTAGCCGGGGTGACTTCTGGCCTCTAGAAACAAAGTGTATTAGGCTGAGAGGGAAAATCTATCTGCTGAATGAAATACTCCCCAGCAACATAACATGGCAGGTGGTACAGAGCAGATAGGCACGGTATACCAGAGAAACTCTGTTTTTTTGTTTGGTTGGGTTTTTTTGTTTTGTCTTGTTTGTTTGTTTTGTTTTTTGAGATAGAGTCTCACTCTTGTTGCCCAGGCTGGAGTGCAATGGCATGATCTCAGCTCACTACAACCTCCGCCTCCCAAGTTCAAGCGATTCTCCTGCCTCAGCCTACCGAGTAGCTGGGATTACAGGCATGCACCACCATACCTGGGCTAATTTTGTATTTTTAGTAAAGACAGGGTTTCTCCATGTTGGTCAGGCTGGTCTCGAACCCCTGACCTCAGGCGATCCGCCTGCCTCAGCCTCTCAAAGTGCTGGGATTACAGGCGTGAGCTGCCGCGCCCGGCCACCAAAGAAACTCTTAACCACATGGAAAATATCTTTGTTTTCTTGGGACAGTAATGCTCAGTGTTCCCAGTGTTCTCCCTACCTTCTTTCTGTTGCCTTTGGGATTATAGTTACTTGGGGTCATAATTCAAATTGCATGGTTGTTTATAAATTTTATTGCCTGACCACTCTCCAGCCCAAATATAATAATTGGTCTCTCCATGTTTGCTGGAACTGAGGAAGGCACCTACCAAGAACCAAAACAACAGATGATACCAAATGTGTTCAAACTAATAAAGCAAGAGTTACTTGAGTTTATACAAGTAATATCTGCTGGGCCATTTTCTCAGTGGTGCCCTGTAAAGAACAATTATGTGTCTAATGGTGAATCAAGATTTGTGGAAATCCTAAAAGCAATTATTTGGATTTTTGTTCTAGAAGAGTCTTTGGGGTTGGACGAAGGAGTATTACAGACAACAGCATAAGACATATAGGGTACACAAATATGCCAAAAAACTTAACAATCAAAGATTATGTAAACATAACATAGGATTTATTCTTTATAGGAATTTTTTTCCCTGCCTTTTATCAAAACTGCATCAAAATGTGACAATTGGCCATATGCAGTGGCTCACACTTGTAACCCTAGCACTTTGGGAGGCCGAGACGGGTTGATCACTTGAGGTCAGGAGTTCAAGACCAGCTTGGCCAACATGGTGAAACCCTGTCTCTACTAAAAATACAAAATTAGCCAGGCGTGGTGGGGGGTGCCTGTAATCCCAGCTACTTGGAGGCTGAGGCAGGAGAATCACTTGAACCCAGGAGGCGGAGGTTGCAGTGAGCCAAGCACTCCACCACTCATGCCATTGCACTCCAGCCTGGGTGACAGAGTGAGATTCCATCTCAAAAAAAAAAAAAAAAAAAAAAAAAAGGAATATTCTAGAGTATTCAAACCTCAGAGATAAAATATTTGGTCCGGAGGGTATGGATGAGGTGACAGAGGGAGCATTACACAAGCACACACAGACCCAAACCAATAAGCTGAATGACAGTCTCTTTCGATATCTAAAATCCACATCTATACACTTGGTATAGGAAAAACAAAAAACAAAAAAAAACTAAAATTGTACCATGAGCCTTGTTTCCCACAGAAGTACAGGAGAATAATTTCTCAGTTCATAGAAGTATCAAAGTGATATGGAATCTTGAAAACCAACTAATGTTTAACTCTCATCCTCCATCCCTTACCCTCAACCAGAAGCTTCTTGGTAAGAATGGTCAGCTTCAGTCCTAAGTCCATTCAGCACCTTCCCTTAGAGCAGAGCAAGTAGCAAGAGTTTAGAGGGGTAACTAGGCACTCAGTTCTCACAGTGGCATGAAACTGCGTTTTTAGCTCTGCTTTCAGAAAACACCTTCCAAACAATTAGTGTCTTCATCAAAGTTCCTACTGTCTGTTGTCCTTGCAGTGCTTTGAGATTCCCTAGCTGTGAC